CCGTCCTGGGGATGGTCATCCTGCTGGTGGTTGTGTCTGGAGACAGAAGGGGCAGGTGTCCACAGGTGCAGCAGCAGGAAGCTGGTGGCAGTGCACAGCAGTGGGTGAAAGCAGCTCCTGGCTTCCAGGGTGACCTGAGTGTGCAGCAGGTGCTTCTCCCAAAGCCAACGCCAGCTGGTGGCTTTACAATCCAGTGAAGATCCAGCAGCCCCTGGAGATGGGGAGCACAGCAGAGCAGGGGCCCGTCTGTCCTTCCCTGCGCTTCCTCTCCTTGCCAGGGATGTTAAAATGGGGAGGGGGTGCTCCCTGCCTCCCCCAACGTGCTGCCAACCCCCCAGCAGCCAACACCAGCCTGAGCAGAGGGCTGGCTGTGCACCCAGATCCCTGCCCTCCTCAAGCCTTCCCGGCAGGAACGTGCTTGGTGGCCAAGTGCTCGAAGTGCACCCGAGGAGGAGGGTTCAGGAGTCTCAGAGCAGGTACAGGAACTGGCAGGATGTGGGGTTGGCTGGAGGCAGCACCAAACGCAGCAGGGAAGTGTTGGAAATGGGCACCAGAACCACTTCGGTTACGGCTGCAGCACCGGGAGGCTCGAGGAGGAGCTGGGGCCGGTTCCAGGGGGAAACACAGCCCAGCAGAAGGGTGCTGGAGTGATGCACAGGCCCCACACCGGGTTTGTTCCACCTGCTCTGTGACACCCAGCGCTGCCTGCAGCGTGTCTGGGCTGCAAACCTGCAGCAAGTGCCCTGAGCTGCAGGCAGGGCTTCTCCAGGGAGCCCCAGGAGTTACAAAGCTGGCTCTGCTGGGCAGGGCCGGTTCCCTCCTGAAGGCCCTTGGCTCCTCGGTCTGGAAGTGCTTAGTGCTCACTGAAACCTGCTGCACCTTTTCTTTTGAGCTCTGGTGCTCACGGGGGCCTGGCCCTGCTCTCGGGCCCGGTCCAGGTGCAGCTCAGTTGGTTTCCTTTCTCACCCCCAGCCCAGCCAAGGCCTTTCTCCAGGGCCTCAGCCCTTCAGGTCTCCATGTCCTGCCTTCACAGCAGCCCCGGGAGCTGAGGAATTTCAGATACGTGGGGGCGTTGGGTATTGACCAGTTTCCCCAGAGCTGAGCAGGGGAGACCAGCCAAGGAGGGGCCCCC